GCTCAGAAACTGAAGTCAAACTCAACAGTCGACGGAGTTTTCTGTGTGGTAAGTTTCCCGTTCATTTTTGTACTAAAATTCACACTGCAAATATATAATTAAATATTCAAAAAGTAACAGTTTACCTTCCTTAGCAACGGTTTGTTATCCTTAGCAACGGTCTGCTATCCTTAGCAACGGTCTGTTATCCTCAGCCACGGTTTGTTATCCTTAGCAACGGTCTGTTATTCTTAGCAACGGTCTGTTATCCTTAGCAACGGTCTGTTATCCTTAGCAACGGTCTACCAGCAAAAAATAACAGACCTCTGGAATGTCCAAATCGACCAATCAGAATTGAGTATTCAATTTAGCAGTGTAATAAATATTAATAGTATAGATATATTTATTTAAAAGTGCTATGCAAGGGCCATGTTGAAGCCATTTTGCATATTTACCTTATTTATATATATATAATGAAATATTCAGAATGTTTTGTAAGTGTTATTTTATTATGCAGAGGATGTAATGGATTTTCCTGCTTTTATTTATTATTGTCTTGATTGATGTTTGTTGTGACGTCACTGCCAAACTTGTCTTGTGTGATGAACCCTCAAAAGGATTCCTCTGATCTCCAGAAAAACAATTTTATATGAGACCAAAAGGCGATTTGTTGGAATAACTCAAATAATCTCAAAGTGAAATCCGACCTCTCAGCTGGAAGCCTTCGACTGATCCTTCCCGCCTCCTCTGTAAACTCCTGGTCTTTGTTGTTCCTTTGAGGCCGAAATGGGATTGTTGCTTATCTGGTGGCTTTTAAAGTTCACTATAAATGTCATTGCACAATAATAAGGCGGTGTTATGAACTGAACTGACATTTAATAGAGGCAGGGACAGGTCTGGAGGAGACGACACAGACGTTAGCTCGCAGCTTTATTAGCAAGCCAAAGAGCTGGGGAAGCTATATACATCACACACACACACACACACACACACACACACACACACACACACACACACACACACACACACACACACACACACACACACACACACACACACACACAGAAACAACCTTTTGATTGGAGAACTGTGTCAAATACCTTTCTCTAATGTATGAAGCAAGCATTATTTCCTAAATCGTGACAATAGTACTTGAAGCTTAAGACGTTTGGAAGGATTTATTGTTATTGTTTTAACATTTTTGGTCAACATTTATCAAACTGTAATGAAAATATCTCAGAGTCTGCAGTGGAGAATATCGTTCTGGACACGTTCATAGCAGCAAATCCAGTTTCTCTAAAGAAATACGTGTTCCAAGACAATGTGAAGTTCATACTGACCAGATTATTTAACATAAACTATGCTAAGCTAATATACTAATATAAAAAAAGCTTCTCCTAGCATCTTCACAGCGAATTCGGCTCTTTTAGCACCGAGAAAGACAACACTTTTAGATGTTTGGGACATCTGTGAATATTGTTTTAAAAAAAAGCAGAAGTCTAGGAGGTTCACGTTTAAGCCACTTCAGTATTGACTTTGCTAATCACCTTTTGTAATACAATGTATGACAAATGCCTTGTTCTGATCATAACAGAAGAGAAAGACTGTCACATTGCATAGTTTCAGAAACAGTGCTAATGTCATTGTCTCCTGTCCCTCTGTTTCTCTCCCTCAGGACCCTCAGATTGATAATCCCAGCACATCCAACGCCATCCCGAGGAACTCTGCTGTCTCCAGACGGGACGCTGCCTCTCTGCTGCCCCCCCTGGTGACTCTGTGGTACTGCAGCCTGCGGGCGATATCCTCGCATCACGTCTTGTAGCCTCGACGCTTCACAGAAAACACAACGGACTGACAAACACACATTTGTATAAAAGAAAAAGCAACATTATATCCTTTCTTCTCAGTGTTGTAATATGATTTTCCCTCTGGATTCTATCTCTCTTTTGATTCCTACTTTGTTTTTTTAAATGAATTTTGTTTTGTTTTTTGCATTGCAGCTGTGTGCTAAAGCGGTGATCTGTACTCGTTCAGTTTGGCTGTGTGTTCCCTTTAGGTTAGTTGAAAAAAAAAAGAGATTTAAGGCTTACGTTTAATACTCAAGGACTACATTCCAATAAACCACAGCTGGTAACTTTGGAAAGGAACACACATGTCATTTAGCGTGGATTTTCGGAGTCAGTTTTCACCCTCGTCTGTTTGTGTGTTGAGGCTATAGGTGGGATCTTTTGCTCAAAAGTCACAGTCAGTTCAGTAACGGCTATATTTGATCACTTGGGCAGCTTTTAGGTGTTATTCAGTCTCCTCTGTGGTTTGTGTTTGTTTTGATAATGACGTGATCTGGTGTTTTACATTTTTACGAACGATTCCACGTGGATATTTACCTGAGAAAAACTCAATTTCAAGGTGAACACCGATAACTACCTGCGCCCAAACCGTGTTTACGGTAGCTCATACTGAACACACATTGCCGATGGCTAAAAGCACACAAGGCAAAGACCCACGAACACACACTGCACATGTTCACACACTCAGACAAAATCACACGGAAACACACACAGCACCAGGTTTTCTGCTCCATTTTTTGTTTTACACCAGTTTCTTTGCCAACATAGTGATTCTCAGAGGTCAGAACGCTGCTGTGGATATCTGAATCCACTCATTAGTGATTGTACATAACTTGTAATTGTTAGAAGTCCAAGCCATGTTCAGTGTTGCTCTATTGAAGGTGCCAGAGAAGCTGCTGCAGTTTCACCGGAATGAGTTTTTCTTTTTATGTTGATGTACTTTGCTGCACTGCGTCCACGAAAACAAGAGCTGAGGAAAAAAATAGACTTATTGTTGTTGAGTATATTCAACGGTAACTCACACCTCTGTCCCACTCAACGCTTACTTTACTGTCAGTTCAGTGTTACGACTTATTGACTCACTTGTGAAACTGCCAACACGTGTGTTGGGGAGGAAGCGATCACATGATATTGAACATTTGCTAAACCCCAACCTTACTTACTTTACTGTCATTGCAACTGCTGGGTTTTGTATTCTAGTTACATGTATGCCAATAAACATAAACTATGGCATGATTGGTAATACATTCAGGAAAGATTGGCCTTGATTTCAGACCGAAGAAGACAAAGCAAACTTCTAAATCTCAGCTAGTGATCATACATTTTGACGGCTAAAAGCATACCAAACTGTAGCTTCCTAACACACTTTAATACGTTAATTGGATACCTTCTCCAGGATGACTGGTTTTAAAATATGAACCCTGAATGAAGGTTTATTGTACGCATAACTTGTAACGCCACCATAAAATGTAGTTAGCTATGATCTGCTCCTTGGCTTTGGTTGTACTGCAGCTAGAATGCTAATGGATTCGGCTAGGTGTGCTAGCACTAGCTATCAGTAGCTAGCAGCTACAAAGTTATTCCTTGGACTTTTGCTTCTATTTTTGTTATTCTGGAAGGGTATGCATAACTTGTAACGCCACCAACAAATGTAGTTAGCTATGATCTAATCCTTGGCTTTGGAAGTAACACTAGCCTATGGTACTGTAGCTAGAATGCAAATAGTTTTAGCTAGGTGTGCTAACACTAGCGAGCAGTAGCTAGCAACTACCTACTCATTCCTTGGACTTTGGCCTCATTCTTTGTCATTCTGGAAGAGTTTAAAAGTACATTTAAAGCTCTAAGATAGACATTCTGGCTCTTTTTAGTCTTTTTGAACTACAAAGCTACTGGCCCAAGAAGTAATTGGTACATTTCGTTCATAAAATAAATGTCTGGTAGAGAGGTTCAGCAAACGGTCGATTCTGTGTTATAAAAGAAACTGCAGCAAACAAGTGACTCATGTACTGTGTGTAAATCGTTAAAGCATTTGTTCCTGCTTACTGCTGGGGAAATGAAAAAGACACAGCGTCGCAATCACGTCTAATTCTCACATGTCGACTTATTCATGTTAGTATTGGATGCATCTGTTTTTTTAATTCTCCCCCCAACACGTGATCAACTTGTTTACATACATCTCTGTGGCATGCTATAGGTTAATTTAACCATTGGGACACCGACAGGGACATTTACAACACGCTGCTTGGGTTTATGTAGCTTCCTCAAAACATCATTGATGTATAGTATAACTTAATGTTATTTACCGAGCATAAACATGGTATATGCACTGTATGGCTGAAACTATAAATTGGACAAGTACATGTCCGATGATATTCTACTCCAGAGCATTGTGAGCTATTTTGAAATCCAGATAGAGTACATTGAAAAAAAAGTTTTTTCATAACAACTTATGTGTATATTTCTCCCAGTATGTACTATGGAATATTATTGCATCTGAGAAAGAGGATATCAATGTAACCCTCCTTATGTAGTTATAAACAACTGTATTTCCTAAACGTATTTCTTTTGTACCATAGCCCCGTTTATGATGTTGCTTTAGTAGTTTTTTTTTGTTTTGGCTAAGATTTAAACTTATTTTTCTATCTTTTACTTATTTTTTGCTGTTTTTCGATGAGATGAAATGAAGTGAGGCAGACCGGGCACAGATGGTTTATATTTAAAACTTTTATAAAACTGTTTATTGCTGTTAACCCTGATTATTTTGGTTTTACTGCTAAAATAACTATGTTGACAATAACAAGAAGTTGAGTTGTCATTGCATGGTGATTGAGAAGGAAATAAATCAATGTTTAAAGACAAATATATTCTATACCATACCATTGAAGGCTTTTTTATGGTATATTTGACCAGAGGTGGGCGACTGAAGATTGAATGTGTGGAAGGAAAGTGAAAGAGAAATGTTATGAGTTGCTTCACGACAAAAATTAAATTTCTCAGAACTGTGTCTTACAGTATGCTCATTATTTTGTATTTGAATCCGAGTGTCATATCGTCATTGGCCCTAGAAAATGAAGGTATTGTTTATATATGTGGCTCAGAAGGCACATCCTCCTGATGTAAGGGTGCCACTTTTGGATGCAAATGTTAAGGTGTTAAATATGTTTGCTGTCCATCTCGATCCCAATCTGTTGTTTCAAAATACCAACAAAATAAAATGGTGTTTTGGAGACTCCCTCAGCTGCCTGGCATCATTAACTTCTTAGCTTGTGAAAATGTAAAATCTATTGTACAAAAGTTACGATTAAAAACTGTTAAATCACCCGGACTGTTTTTTCATGCTTTTTTCACTGAATGAGGAAAAGAAGGGATATAAATCATTAAAAAGGACATAGGTTTCATATTGGTGTTTAGTAGCTCTACTGTGATATGTTTCCACATACGTTATTTTGTTAATAAATTCATATCTGTAGACGAAAAAAGGCAATGTTGGAGTCCCACAGGGTACTAGTGTGGGTCCCCTGTTGTTTTCAAGTTTTCTACACAGTCAAGACACAACTAAAAACTTTTACAATATTTAAATAGAAATATGCATCAAATAGTAGAACTTTGACATTAATGCATAATAGGGGACGTACATGTATATCAGTATGTAGTGTCTCTACTTTAAAGAGTCCTCTCCTGCTGATGTTCAGGTGTATATCAGTATGTAGTGTCTCTACTTTAAAGAGTCCTCTCCTGCTGATGCTCAGGTGTATATCAGTATGTAGTGTCTCTACTTTAAAGAGTCCTCTCCTGCTGATGTTCAGGTGTATATCAGTATGTAGTGTCTCTACTTTAAAGAGTCCTCTCATGCTGATGTTCAGGTGCATATCAGTATGTAGTGTCTCTACTTTAAAGAGTCCTCTCCTGCTGATGTTCAGGTGTATATCAGTATGTAGTGTCTCTACTTTAAAGAGTCCTCTCCTGCTGATGTTCAGCTGTATATCAGTATGTAGTGTCTCTACTTTAAAGAGTCCTCTCCTGCTGATGTTCAGGTGTATATCAGTATGTAGTGTCTCTACTTTAAAGAGTCCTCTCATGTTGATGTTCAGGTGTATATCAGTATGTAGTGTCTCTACCTTAAAGAGTCCTCTCCTGCTGATGTTCAGGTGTATATCAGTATGTAGTGTCTCTACTTTAAAGAGTCCTCTCATGTTGATGTTCAGGTGTATATCAGTATGTAGTGTCTCTACTTTAAAGAGTCCTCTCCTGCTGATGTTCAGCTGTATATCAGTATGTAGTGTCTCTACTTTAAAGAGTCCTCTCCTGCTGATGTTCAGGTGTATATCAGTATGTATTGTCTCTACTTCAAAGAGTCCTCTCCTGCTGATGTTCAGGTGTATATCAGTATGTAGTGTCTCTACCTTAAAGAGTCCTCTCCTACTGATGTTCAGCTGTATATCAGTATGTAGTGTCTCTACTTTAAAGAGTCCTCTCCTGCTGATGTTCAGGTGTGTATCAGTATGTCGTGTCTCTACTTTAAAGAGTCCTCTCCTGCTGATGTTCAGGTGTATATCAGTATGTAGTGTCTCTACTTTAAAGAGTCTCTCTCTGCTGATGTTCAGGTGTGGTATCAGTATGTCGTGTCTCTACCTTAAAGAGTCCTCTCCTACTGATGTTCAGCTGTATATCAGTATGTAGTGTCTCTACTTTAAGAGTCCTCTCCTGCTGATGTTCAGGCGTTGTATCAGTATGTCGTGTCTCTACCTTTAAAGAGTCCTCTCCTACTGATGTTCAGCTTGTATATCAGTATGTAGTTGTCTCTACTTTAAGAGTCCTCTCCTGCTGATGTTCAGGTGGTATCAGTATGTCGTGTCTCTACTTTAAAGAGTCCTCTCCTGCTGATGTTCAGGTGTATATCAGTATGTAGTGTCTCTACTTTAAAGAGTCCTCTCCTGCTGATGTTCAGGTGTGTATCAGTATGTCGTGTCTCTACTTTAAAGAGTTCTCTCCTGCTGATGTTCAGGTGTATTTCAGTATGTAGTGTCTCTACTTTAAAGAGTTCTCTCCTGCTGATGTTCAGGTGTATATCAGTATGTAGTTGTCTCTACTTTAAAGAGTCCTCTCCTGCTGATGTCCAGGTGTATATCAGTATGTAGTGTCTCTACTTTAAAGAGTCCTCTCCTGCTGATGTTCAGGTGTATATCAGTATGTAGTGTCTCTACTTAAAGAGTCCTCTCCTGCTGATGTTCAGGTGTATATCAGTATGTAGTGTCTCTACTTTAAAGAGTCCTCTCCTGCTGATGTTCAGGTGTATATCAGTATGTAGTGTCTCTACTTTAAAGAGTCCTCTCCTGCTGATGTTCAGGTGTATATCAGTATGTAGTGTCTCTACTTTAAAGAGTCCTCTCCTGCTGATGTTCAGGTGTATATCAGTATGTAGTGTCTCTACTTTAAAGAGTCCTCTCCTGCTGATGTTCAGGTGTATATCAGTATGTAGTGTCTCTACATGTCTCCATGCTTTAATGTTCAAAAAGCTCTATATTGTTCTCATAGTGTCTGTGCTGCAGCACCTCGTTTCACCCTCTGTCTGAAACCAGAGCCCAGTCTGCTCTGATTGGTTAGCTGGCCGGCTCTGTTGTGATTGGTCAACCGCTTAGAGCCCCTTAGCCTATCACGTACAATGTGTTGGAGCTCCAGCCAATAGAAGCGCGAGTGTTAGATAGTGATCTAATATGTTCTGAAACGTTGGGATTTTAGGCTTTTCACACCATTTACATGCACTAAAACCTATAACACACTACAGGTAAGGGAAAACGCACAGAAAGTACAGCCTCTTGAAGACAGTTAGAATTGATCCTGAACACCTCGCAGGTTAATCTCCTTGACCTCGGGATCAAAGACAAAGGAAACAAGATCTGAGGTTTCTGACAACTGTATTTGTTAGAAAGCATAAGGGGCACCAGGTCAGCTGAGCTCTCTGTGGGTCTTTATTGTTCAGTGTTGCATGAGGAGAAGAAAAGGGAAAGAGGACAGAAGTACAGACTCCCTGCATCAAGGTGGATGGATCGCTATAACTTAAACTAATTATAACTTCAAATAGTTAATGAAACGTGACACACTGGGCTTTAAAACAGTGCATTACTTGATTTGAAGAAAGTAATCACTGCCATTTGTCTGCCCCCCAAAAGTCTTTATATAAAACAATTGTGCAAACTCTTTCTAAGGTTCGAATCAATTCTCTCTCAATCTTCACTTTTAAAAACATGGAAAAACAATCACCTGATAGAAACTATTAAGCTTGTTTAATTCACAGTGCACAATCTTGCAAATCTAATGTATAACACTACATGTAAGGAGTCATTACAGCTTCAACGTCAAGGCTAATTTAATTAAATGAATTGGAAAAAGTCAATTAAAATGTGTCGTTATGCAAACTCTTAAAGGTTGAAATCAATTACTATCTAAATTGCCCTTTTATAACAAACAATGGTCGTGAAACACAAGCCTCTGGGAAGGAGAACAGATTACATAGAGCACTAACTACGGTAATACTCATCCACATTTATATCTGTTTGTTGAATTGGTAAAACCCATATTTAACATTTTTAAGTACAGTTTTGCAGGAAAATTGTTGGGGAATAACTTCCCCTGCATGTCCTCCTTCGCCCTCTGACGCAGATGCCGTAAACCTTGAGCAGCCGTTATCTCCCTTGAGGGGCTGCCCTAGCATTTTGTTGTTACCAGTTTGTGAGCGGGCAGCTCTCGGTCAGAGATAGTTATTGTGGGACATCTGGAACGCATCCTTCTCGGGGTGTAGATGACCCCGAGCCATAAGCGACAACGACTGTGATTCAGTGTCCTCAGCTGTTTGGTCTAATTATTGAAGAATGTTGATTATTACACTCTGAACTAGTTCAAACCTGGAGCTACAGGAGGGGTCTTCAGAATTGATTGTGGCATCTCAACCGTGTGGTCAACTCGTGGCCCGTGACATGTCTTGTGAATTCTCCGGCCGAAGCTCCAAATAAACCGTCAGTGTTTGCCATCAAAGCTCCAGCTCTCCATCGCGTCTCTTTGAGTCCTGACTCCAATCGCTTCAGAAGTTTCCCCCACAAATACATACAGTATTTACTTAAACACAACATTATCCCTTTCCCAGCCTAATGAGTTTTTCTAAGGCATAATACATGTTAGATCTACTGCATAATACATGTTAGATCTACTGCAGTCCTTTGTACAACTAAGAATCTATATTAATTATTGCCAACAATTCGGGACTAAATTACATGTTACTTGTTAGACGCTTTTATCCAAAGCGACTTACATACTCAATACTGTGGTCAATCCCCACAGGAGCACTTTGGGGTGAAGTGTCTCAGGGACACAACGACATGCTGACTGCAGTGGGGTTTGAACCTGTGACCCCCTGATCCGAACACCAACGCACAATCCACTGCGCCACACGCCTCCAAATGAAAAAGAAAGCTGCGTTTTAGACCAAAGAGCTGTTATTCCTGAATGAAACACCATCATACCTAAAGCAGATACTGAATAAGTTGCTCACATCAACCCCCCACCACATTCAACAGCTGTGAGTTATCACCCTGAATGTATCCATACTAATTGTTAATATGTGGCCTGACATGTTTCCAGACCGAAGGAGAAGCTGCTGTATCTCTTACATCCAGCAGTCAGCACTCAGGTCCAGACTCTAATGTAAACCAGACTTCACTGGAGAACCAACCCGAACAGTGAGGAAACATATGGATGAAACAAAGAGGCCTTTTGTGCACAAGACCAGGACCATAAATCCCGACTGAAGGAGAGGTTCTGGTCCAGGTTCTGGTCCAGGTTCATCCAGACCGAGCAACTGTTCTTCAACCTCCCTAAGTTCTCCCACACCTTAAGTTCCTTGTTTACCAATATCTGTAACATGGCACTAGGTGTTACTGAAACAGCAGAACCATGAATGGGTTTAATTAAAGCAGGACATTACTAATTAACTAATTAACTAATTTACTAATTAACTCCATTAATCTCATGAATTAAAAGAGAGTTATTTGTATGGTAAAGTGATGTAAAAACCGACAGCTCCATGTGTTGTATAAAACAACGTCATTGACATTTAGGACTGACGCATTTCCAGCATTATGAATAAAACATTAATGTATAAAAGCAAAGGGTGATGGGTAAACTGTCTGACGCCTGCACATCTTCGTCATAAATGGCAGGAAATGAGTCTGGCATTTGAGTGTTATTCCTAATAATCATCCTGCATTATCTTTAAAGCAGCCATTAGACCAAATGCATGTCCTTAAGTCTTAATACAGAGCACCTT